AAGAAATGCAAAACATCCCTGAAGAATTCTGAACCGGGTGGAGCGAAGCCCCGGTTCATGTGATCAGTAAACACGATCACCTCCCCCTCCTTGGGTTGAGGCTTTTCCTCTGACGGGTTAGGAGCACGATAAGACATGACCTCCTTCTTGGGAAGATGGCCGGGTTTCACAAAATCGGACAAAGTGCTTTCTGTAACGATGGACTTGACCCAGTTACAGGTCACCATAGGTTTGGAAGCCTTGGGTGCCATTGGGTAAATTGAAACCTATGACAAAAGAAAAATTTCCGGTTCAACTTATAACCCGGAGGGGGTCATCGTGAAATTATTTGAAACAGCGGCTTAAGAAGGGGCCTAATGACATATAGGTAACTACGCAATGATATTTAAGCCGCTACAGGTATCAGGGGCAGTTAAATTTTCTTAAAGTTGCTGAAAGCAAGCAAGACTGACGATCGGTGTTGTCATAAACCAGCTACATAGATTACCATGGTTAAACAAATTCGACAGAGGCAGTTTTTTGACTAAGTGTGGAACAAACAAGTTTCACAAGTTTCAGTTATTCTTTTGGATCAAACAAATGCTCTGAAAAGAAAAATTTCTAGGTCTAAAAACCAATACGGAGAAATTCATATACTCGAAGGAGGCCTTTAAACAAGGGAAATGAGATCGGTTTCCGTTCAAGATGGATGCGGAACAGCTACCGCAGTAGTTCTAGCTATCTAAAGATCAAAAAGAGGCACGGGAAAGGAAAAATATCAAGGGTTCGCCGCGGGCGGCGATGAACACCGACGAACTCGAAGAAGCTCCATTGCAGATCTAAGAAAGGGAAAGAAGGGAACTTACGGATGTGGACGGGCTGCGGAGGTTCGCCGTTGATTTCTGGTCAGATTCGGGTTGATGCAGCGGCCTGAGTCGGTGAAGACGAGGAGCTCGACGGCGGCGGCGGCGGAGCTTGGGTGGCAGAGATACAACGAGAGGAAGAGGATGACTGAAAGGGGGGAGAATGGAAGACCTAGGTCGTGCCTATTTATAAGGGAAGACCGACTGAGACGGTGCGAGAAACGAGGAGACCAAACATTATTATCCAGCGGTCCCGACGCCTCAGTTTTTGGAACGGTCAGTAAAAGCAAAGATCCGTTGGAGGATATGGTGGAGTAAAATATGAATTTAAGTAAAGATGACGTCGCGGCGGGTTAACGCGGATCCAGAAGATGACGTCATGGCGGGTTAAAAACCTTTGCACAGGCAGAAGGCAGAAGGTTTATGTCTTAAGGTATTTTAAGATTGACATGAACCGGTTCAAATCAATCTGGGGCCTAATGTTGGGGATATAACTATTTGTGTAAGCCGCCCAGGAGGGGCCGGGTTATGCAAATAAGACTCATCAGAAAGAAGCCTCAGACCAAGCATGAAAATGGCGGTTCAATAAAGGGTCTAAGGCCCACAGGCGGCTTAAGGACCATAGTGGTAAATCGCCATGATGGCATGACTTGTAACATAAGGTAGAATTAACTAGTCACCGAGCCGGACACTGTCTATGAGCCGACTGGGACTCTGTAGGCCGCAGGGCATCCACCCGTGTATATAAGGGGACGACCCGCTGGTGGCTTAGGGCAAGAAACATCTCATCAAGAACCGGGCAAAGCGTATGTCGCTCCCTGGTTATCTAAACCTCAAGCAATACCAACCCAACTAGACGTAGGCCTTACCTTCACCGTAAGGGGATGAACTAGTATAACTCTCTCGTGTCCTTTGTCTCAATTAACCCCTTTAAGCTTCCTAGTTGCGATGGCTCCACGACTAAGTCCTTGCAAGAGGACATCTGCCGTGACAATTCCACGACAAATTCCTTTTTTCTTAATTGACAAGAAGGGTGCAAATTATGTATGCATGGATCACATAAGTTGCCTACAACCTACACCTCCTAATATGAGATTTTGGGATGGTACTGTTTGCTAGGTGTGCATGCAGCATGAGTTGTCGGGACATGACCACCAAAAAAATTGCCTCCCACCTAGCTTACAAAAATAAAAAGGATTTGAGATGCATGTACTGCCTGAGTTGTTGCTACATGGTAAAAATGGAGGCAACTTATGTGTGAAAACTAGAACATGAAATGCAACTCCATATTTTGTTCCCATGGTACTGTTTGCTAGTTGCTAGTAGCTAAAAAACGCAAACTAACATGCTGGTCAGAAAACAAAGACTTTGTAGTCATATGGTCGTGGGAGGAGGGGGGTAGGGGGAGGGATACCTCATTTTCAGTCACTTTTCATTTTATTTTCTTTGGTTGTTCACCTTGTGTAACATCGGCTTCATAATCATCTCCTAGTGGTTCTGCTTCATTGCTATCGATATCCACAGGCCGCTTCCCCCGGTTTATGACCCGCTTCTGGCGCTTGCGTTTGTAAACATGAGTTGTTGAACCACCTTGCTCTTCTGCTGTAGGTGCCTGTAATAAAATCACAAATTTCTTTAATAAAAAAAAGTAGCAACCAAAGCAAAAATGCTATTTATGTAGCAAAAATCAAAAGGAATACCCCCCGTTCAGCTTCGGGAGAGGGAGGTGGCACCGAGCCAAGCGGTGACTCTGCTGACTGTTGTTGATCACGCTTTTTACTTTGTTTAGTCATCTTTACCCGTAAAAAAAAGCAGTTACATACCAAAAAGATTGTCACCATGGAAAAAAGTCTGATTATAAGCATGCAAATTGCCTGATTATTAGGATGAAAATGCCTTGTTATCTAGCAATCATCTGATTATCAACACGAAAAAAGTCTGATTATCAGCACTCCTATCAACACACAAAAAAACCATTGCCATAAGTTGCCTGACTGTTGACATGAACTTGCCCCGGACCAGTAAAACACAAAAAATAAAACAATCGTGTGCACATAAGTTGCATGACAAAATGGTATTAACTTGCCTGGTCCAGAAGAAGAGTGAGAGGAACGTGGATATAAATAGGTGGCATGGTGAGTATGGTACAGCTCGGGTCCGGCCAGGACGGCAGGGCCCGTGCACCATGCTATACAAACCTCGCAGCCTATCAAATTCTGATTGCAAGTGAGAGGTGAGGTTGATTCGATCTCACTTGCGCCACCGCAGGGATCCTGGTCCCTTGGTCGGTCACCTACCTACGTGAAATGAATGGCATAGGAGGAGTAGCTCCCTTTTTCCATTCATTGAACGTGAAATTTTTGGCAATCCAACTCGGCCAAGCATCAACCTACAAACAATTGATCCTAGTTTACTTATCACCTTGCCGTAAACATTTTATCTGAATCTTGTTGGAAGATTTCATGACATTCCTATCAACACAAAAAACACCATTGCCATAAGTTGCCTGACTGTTGACATGAACTTGCCCCGGACCAGTAAAACACAAAAAATAAAACAACCGTGTGCACATAAGTTGCCTGAAAAATGGCATTAACTTGCCTGGTCCCAGGAAACACTAACAAAACACCCGTGTGACATAAAATTGCCTGACGGTTCGCATGAACTTGCCCGCTCACGAGAAACCCTACTAACACCCCATGTCATGACTTGCCTGGTGGTGGTGATAAACTTGCCTGCTACAAAAAAAATCACCAACAAAAAATGTTGAAACAACATCTGCACGGGGTGAAGTGAGGGCTAAGGGAGGACACGAACCCTCAAACTAGTTCGACCACAAAATCACATGAATCCGGCGCTCACATTAACATG